GATGTCCGATGGATCTTGGCTGAAAGCAGAGAATACCAGAAGGATGTTTACCTATGCTTTATTGACTACGCGAAGGCTTTCGATTGTGTGGATCATGACAAGCTACGAACAACATTGAGATGTGTGAGTATTCCAGAACACTTAATTGTATTCCTGAGAAATCTGTACCTAGACCAAGAAGCAGTTGTTCGAACAGAGCATGGGAACACTGAATGTTTTAACTTTGGGAAAGGTGTGCAACAAGGTTGTGTTCTTTCACCATACTTAGGCATCCGTGAGCTGAAATAAACTGGTATTGACCATTTTGAACCTGACAATCATATGCTGGGAATGACAAATTCAAAAAGAATGGCATAGCATTCATCATCAAAAATATGTGATAAGACAATATCCATATGTCCACAAGGAAGAATAGTTAATATCACAAACATTAAAATGTATGTGCAAACCACTAAAACAAGGGATGATGAAATCAAAGATTTCTACCAACTTCTTTAGACTAAACTTGATCAGTTGATAATTACTGGTGATTGGAATGCAAAAATAAACAAAGAGGAAGGATCAGTAGTTGGAGAATAGGGCCTTCGTGATAAAAATGATGTTGAAGATCACATGATAGAATTCTGAAAGACCAGAGACTCATTCATTGCAAATGCCTTTTCAACAACAAATGGACCTCACCAGATGGAATACACAGAAATCAAATTGACTCTCTGTGGAAGAGACAGTGGAGAAGCTCCATATCATCAGACAAGACAAGGTCAGGGACAGACTATGGAATAGATGATCAATTAATTGCTCACATGCAAGTTCAGGCTGAAGCCAAAGAAAATTAAGTACATGAGAGTCAAACTATGACCTTGAACATACCCCACCTTACTTTAGAGATCATCTCAAGAACAGACCGGATGCATTAAACACTAATAATGGCCAAAGGCCAGAATTCTGTGGGATGACCACAAGAACAACATATAAGAAGAAAGCAAAAGTCATTAAAAACAAAACAAAACAGAAAAGACCAAAAACAGATGTCAGAAAAGATCCTGAAACTTGCTCTCCAGTGCAGAGATGCTAAAGCTGATGGAAGAAATAAGGAAGT